CAGAACTCCAAAACCCTTGTAGAATATAACCTTGAGAAATTTAAATAGTAATAACAACTTTAAAAAAAAAACTTTTCTACATTTTAAATGTTTACAACAGCAAATTATAGTAAGGCTTTGACAGAATTTGGCCCTTTATTTGCTTAGCCACTGCTTTTGGAAAGCTAAGGAAGAAGGTCAGCTAAATTGGAAGAAACCAAGAGTTTGGCTTGTAAATTTCATTAAGAGTTTTATCCCCATCCCAGCAAACATTTTCCCTCCTTGGTGGATTGTTGAAGAGTAGTAGTTCTCAAAATGGAAGTAGGCATATTAAATATAGTATGTGAATGTATTGCAAAAAATGAATTAAATGAAAGTCTCCCAAAGGATCCATCCACAAAGTATCTCCTGGGTCTCCACATAGTTTGTTGTTCTAGCCTTACGTCTTTCCTTTGCTAGCAGGGATTCATTCTGCTGTTTCTCTGCAGTGGGGTTTTTTAGGTCATTAACATATTCCCAGTGCAAAAATGGATGAGAGTTATTCTCATTCCTAGAAGCTGTCCATTTCATCTCTGAATGAGTCAATACTCCATGGTTGCCACCTTCCATTCTAGGATGATTGGCACAGAAATACAGATTTTTTTTAAAGGAGGTGGATGGGTAATGAGATTCTCTGATGGAGGTTTTGTGTATAAAAGGTTTGTTCTGTTCCTAAATCTCTTTTCCTTATGTATGAATTACTGCTTCAGGAACAGGGTGAATAATCACATCTGATGCAATTTGCCTCTCTTTTTAATTAAGTTTATTCTAAAAACAAAACAAAAACCTTGTGCTACAGATATCACATGTTTAGGAAACACTGCCTTTAGAGGGTAGCTCAGTAAATTTTACTTAAATTAACAACAGCTCCTGCAAATTTGGGTCTGCCTTTGATTTAGAGAAAACCATTAAAAAGCAGTAACAGAATGTTGGCTTGCTCTCCTTTGTCTGTCCTTCCAACCAGAAATAAAATTAGATTTCTTTTCCATATTAGTTTCCAGTTGTGGCGGGAAGTAATTGATGGGCTGGTGAACTGCTCGCTAGTGCTCAGGTCCCTGTTTGGTATGCCTGAGAAAGACACTTATGTTGAAACTGGCCCAGAAGAACTAGGTAAGCTCTCATGTCAATTCAACAAATCTAACTCTAAGAAAATTTAGAGCTTGGCAACATTAAGAATGGTGGACAATCCCTGCTTGATTCAGATATAAAGTCGATATCATCAACCCTCTTTATTAAATTGCATTTCAAATTTTACTAGTGTTTCTGGCTTATTACTTGCCAGAGGGTGGTTTTACTAATCAGAAAGACCAGTAAAATAATTGTTAGTCCTAAATGAAACATGGAAGAAAATTATTCTGCTTTCTTTCCAGTGGAGGTAAAATCAGCTGCGGCAAAGTCTGTCAAGGAAGATCGGAAAGTTCCGAAAGAAGATAAGAAAGTTGCTTTGAAGGAAAAGGAAAAAGGAAAGGCAACCAAAGAGGTAGATATATGATTGGTCCCTTCATAATATAGAAAATGAAGCTTAATTAGATAAAACTGGATTGTGCGATCTATTTCAGCTGAAGGCTACATTTGGCCTGTGGGTGGTGAGCAGAGAGCTTCAATGCAAAACATAAGCAAAGCTGAATTGAAAAGTGGGTGGAAGCAGGAAAAACACTTCATTTGATTTCATTTGAATGTAATACAGATTATATTAAATACACTAAAGAGTTAGTGTGATTACTTTCCATATATTCTTAAGTTTCTCTTCTCTCACATTAAGAATTCAGGGTGGTGGCCTGTTTGGAGTGAGATTCTGGGAACTATATATAAGGCTTTGAGATTTCAGATTTTGCATTTGTGAGATAAATGTTTGAAAAATTAAAAGAATTTTGCAATTTTTGATCTGAGCTGACTCCTTGCTGAAAGTGCTGTTCGTTTCAGATAGGCACAGTGCTATATGAAGCTATGGAAATCAGATTGTTTTGAACTCTGTTTGGTATGATTACATTTTTCTAAGCAGGAACGCTCAAATAGCAGGAAAGGCAAAGGAAAGGAAGAGAGGAAAGTAAGGACTTCCACAAAGGAAGCAAAGGATGCTATCTCTTTCTCAGTGGAATCCTCAGAAGCAGACTTTCAACTTCGCCGAGAACAAATTGATCCAATTGTGCAGGAAAAATACCGTGAAAAACTCTATGTTGAAGTAAGTTAGTCTATACAGATTATAATAGGGGGGGGGAAACTCAACAACAAAACAAAACTCACAGCAAACCAAACAAAGCTTACAGCAAGCCAGAATTTACAAGAGTTAAAAAGCCTGAATGAGCAGAAAAGTCTTCACTTGATACCAAAAAATTGCAACCCATTAGCGCCGGGCACATGTCACGGGGAAAGCTCCAGTGACTAACTCCCTTTGTTCAACTGGCTGTTCCCCTTATACTAGTGTTAAGTCAGAAGAGATATCAGGATGCTTCATGTAGTTATTAAATGGCACTGGGAAGGCGAGAATCCTGTAGCAGCCATACACATGATTATCGAGGGGTTAAATACTAGTTTCTCAGTGCCACTCTCTGGAAATGCCCATCCAGATAGAAGTAGAACACAGCCACTGTCCAAGTACTGCCTCTATACCCAACTTGGATGGCTAATCTAAAAGAATATGATGGCTGTTGATACCAAACATTGCTGAGAAATAAGGAGAATTAATATAAATCTAATATAGAAATTGCAGCAATGTATTATGAAGTAGGAAGTAAAATGGTCACTCCTTCTAGCTATAGTCTCAGCTTTTTCTCTGTTCACTAAAAAACAAAAGTTCATACGTTTAATTAACATTTTACTGTTCAGTATTCCCAACTAAAATGCATACGTATGCTTGTATTCCTTTGGTAATATGGTAATGAAATGGATGAATTAAAAAAAAAAATCATTGACAAAAGGGGTTCAATATCAGCATACAGCAGCTTTCCCTGGTCTGGCACTCTCAAATGTGCTGTACTTTTGCTCGCAAAATCCCTAGCCAGTGTGAAGTTATGCTGTGGGCTGGGCTTCAGTTCCTTACACACATACTACAGAAACTAGGCTATAAAGTCCCAACTCCAGGGCACGTATGTAGAAATAGCAATTGACCCCCTCTGCACAATACCCTTTGGGTTTAATAGGGGTTGCATAGCATATGGAACAGATATACTGCATATTTAACTCATTTTATATCAAGCACATGGAGCAGATTAATATGGCTCCATAATGCTTTCCAGGCATGTGTTCTTTAGCTGACTTCTCTAATCTGGCACCCTTCAGATATATTATTTATTGGATTTCAGTTTCCATAATTTTCAGATAGGAACTGTGCATTACATTCAGGTATGTAGCAACAAATTAGGTTATCAAATGTGTGGTACATACTACGATGTAATACTCTCCCTGGCAATGTTTGTTCTGGAAGAGTAAAATAATCTGTAAAAATGTGTAGGTTTAGTTCATTATATGTCCAAATGGACTCAAATTTACTTATAAATAAATGAAAGCTTCTTTGAATTTAATCTTTCATTTAGGTTTATGGACTGCTGAATTCAATGGTGAACAAAATGTTTTTCCTCTTTGAGGAGGTAAAGAAGAACGCTCTAGAGAAGACTAAAGCATCCTTTGTCTAAATGGTAATTCTGTAATGAAATTATATATATGCACACATAAATAGTATCAGAGAAGTTTTGTTTATGAAAGTGCAATATGCAAATAGGCTAGAAATTAATTGTCTCTCTCCTGCAGCCTTCTATGTAGTCAGATACAGCTGAATAAGTTCTGTCTCCAGCTGAAAAATATTGGCAAGGTAAATGAAGCTAAGATTTTCATATTGATGGTGTAAGCAAGGAGGAGGGATTTGATAGTCACATTGCCCCAGTGGAAATCTTTAAGAGCTGTACAAGTGGGTGGAACTGATTCATCCATCTATACACTACACTCATTTTCTTCCTCTCTCTCAAGAGGGAGAATGAGGTTGAAGCCTCTTCCTCTACTCTAAGCAATCCTTATCAAATTCACAATTGCTGTACTTCCCTTGGCAGCAGCAGCAATAGCATTGTCTCTAAGGAGAGGTGAGGTATGGGAACAGAGACTTTAACTGCTTTGCTGTCTTTATTAAACTTGCCATTTTCTTTTTCTGATTGCATTCAGAAACAACAGTCTGTTTCTGGCAGCCCACCTGATGGCTAAACTGCTGGGTGATGGAGAGAAAGTAAGTGGAGTGATGGTAGACCACAAAGAGAGCAGCTGAGAGCCATATGCCGTGTGCAGCTTGCCCATGTGTGCTGTATGGGAATATCTGATCTTCATACAATCACCATTGCAGAGTTGACTGTAAGGGTACATTATGATTTTCACTTGGATTGATTATCAGGTGCCTACCAGCCAAATACAGCTCTCAGATTCCTACTTTGCCATGCTGGTAGATCCATTGTTGCCATGGAAGTCAATAAATGCCTCAGCCACTTTGTCTCACGGAGATATAATATGAGCAGGGGAAGAGATTTTTGCAGAGCCCCTTTCCTCTTTCTGCTGTGCACTTTACAGCCTAACTATTTCAAACATAAATAACACCAATGAGGCCTTTATCTTAATCACCCAGACGTAGAATTGGAAGGGGCAATTTATGCTGTCCTCTCCAACCTCCTGCTTCATGCAGGAATACAAATTAAAGCATCCCTGAAAGACATCTAGCCCCTGCTCAAACACATACAGGAAAGGAAAGACCATCACGTCGCTGTGTAATTTGTTCCAATGGCAAACTGCTCTTTCTGTCAGAAATGTTTTTCTAACAAACAGAATTCACCTTCTTGCAACTTGAAAAGATTGTTTCAAGTCTTCACTCTGCAAGAAGAGTCAAGTACTAATTTTCTGTGTGATATCCTTTTTGATATTTCAAGCATGCTATCATGTCCTCCCTCATTCTTCTCAGAATTAAACATATCCAGTTCCTTCAATCACTTTTCCTAGGATTGTTTCAGGTTCCCTTAATTCTTCTTCTCTGAACCTATTCCAGTTTGTCTGAATCCTAAAAGTGTGACATCCAGAACTACAAACAATACTCAAATTGATATCTGACCAAATCTCCCTGTGATTGGAAATTATGTCTGTCAATACAACCTAAAATTACATTTGCCTTTTTTGCAGCCCCAACAACTGCTGCAAACGGTTTGCTTTTGTATCACTGATTTTAGAAACTCTCACTAATCTTGAGTTGCATTTCCCATTAGCATTTCCTGCCATGGAATCCCATTTCTCATTGCTCTGAATGTATTAAAATTTGCTTTTTAAACACGTAAAATAAATCTTTAACTACACTCAGCTTTATATCCCTTTAAAATCAAGAATTCCAGGATTTCCCAGTCACTTTCCCTCACTATTCCTCTTACTTCTACTTCTTTGACTGAGGGCACATCCATATGATCCAGATATTAGCTTGAAGATGTGTTGAAGGACACACCTCTTCCTCTCCTCCCTAGCCTGTAGCCAAGGCTGCCAGCTTTGTATCTATCTCATCCAGTGTTATAAAATGTTTCCCATCTTCTCCCAACACAGATCTTGCAAATGTGCCATATGTGGTGCTTCAGAAGTGACTGTGGTGATGATAATACAACAGCAGCTGAAGTTTGCCCAGCCCTTGATAATTGTGTTTGGTGGCTGTTGGCAAACCCCTCCTGTCTCATTGCTTCTGACTTCCCCCCATGACCATTTCAGCTTTGGCAGAATGGTCAGACACTTTTAGAAAAAGACTGGGGAAGACCGGGAGGAGAGAATCACAACCTGATTTGGTCTGGAGAATGTTCTAGCCCACTCTTAGTCAGCTGCTTTTGTATTTCTGATTCTAACTACAGTTTCATGGTCATAAATGAAACTCTCACTAAGACCTAGGAAAGTTCCAGGACTAGACTGGATTAGTACTGCTAAATGGTGGAGCCAGCAAAATGAAGAAGCCTTGGTTAATGATGCTGAAGGATAAAGCAGCTCTAGAAAGAGAGCAGTGTCTTTCCAGAAGGGTTTGTCATCAAACAGCAGCAGAGCCACAGGCTGGAGACTCACCGTAGGGAGAGGAGGGAAACGCCAGCAAGGCGCTGCAGGCCACAAGCCAAGGAGTGCAACAAAGAAAGTCTCAAAGCCTGAGTGGCCTGAGGAGAGGAAGCAGCTGCTACTCACCTGCCAAATCCTGCCTGGAGGAGCAGGGTCCTGCTTTCAAAGTTTACCAAGTGCACTCCCCGCTCTTCCCCAGTTGCCAGCTCTGCCTGCCTCCAGAGAGGATTTCCTCATCCTTCCTGTTAAGGAGGCAGTCGGTGCTTGTTTTTCCTGCCTGGCAGGTGGGAGGGGAGATGCAGCTACCGATCACTGCACCTTAATTTGGCTCGCAATAAAACTGAGGAAAGCGTCACCCACCTGCCTTGTGAACAGGGCAGAGTAGAGAGTGGCTATCAAGACAGAGCAAACTGATGCTGGCATTCCTTGTGTTGCCTCACAGGCTGGAGGAAAACACATGAAACCATCCGTCTGTGTATTCCCTTAGTCTTCCTTATTGATAAGGATGTAAAGGAAGGCACTCTTGTGCCTTCCTTTACCCTTTGAAAGGAAAAAGTTGTCATATATACATTTCCTGGCAGGAACATGTTTGGCAAAGTTTCTTTCCCAAAGATGTTGGGGTAATTAAAATCCATCACTACGACTTCATGTTTCCTTGAAAAAAAATGCAGGAATGGAAATCTTGGTAGCATCTGGAAGGAGTGGGGGGTAGGGAGAGCTCTACTCTTTTCTTGCTCTGGGTTGGTGTTCTCAAGCTTCTTGCTTTGAAAGAAAATCTTTGAAAAGCACAAATAGAGCCTTTTCATTTTCCTGTGCAAATAGCAGGCATTGGATGCCTTGATGCTGACCATAAGCAAAGCAGGGACAAAATTTGTTTTTCAAGGATTTTAGCTAATTATATATGATTGCTAGCCTGGATTGTTATATAATTCTGGTTATGTTTAAGATGTTATGGATAAGCCTTAGAAATATTTTAAATAAATGTTTTCTAACTCTCACCTCTTCACACTAGGGTCTGATCTCTGTACTTTTTTCTCATCTGTCTCTATTAAACAATTTGTCCATTGCTAACTGCAGAACTGGCATCACAACTAATAAGCGGCTCCCATGTCCAAGCCATGGACTGAGAAATGCAGATCAGCCATGACATGTAAACCAAAGTCTTTGCCAAAATCATTTGTTTTGGGGAGATGGGTCTAATGCCTCTGCCCAGTATCTTGGAGAATTCCAGTGGGCTGCTGAACCTTCAATCTTTAGTTGAAAGTATGCCTCCCCCCCAGGCTAAAATAAGTTGTCCTCAATAAGCTGAAAAGCAACCATCTTCATTAAGAATCAGGAAAAATGATTTTAGCAAAGCAGCTTCTTCCAGGCAGATCTCTCTGGCTATGAGGCCTTCAATTCCTATTAACACCCCACTCAACACAACTTGGAATATATAAAAAGAACTGGGCTATGGAATGAAATTTTGTTGATAGAAAATCTGGGATCTCTGCAGACTCCAGCTGAGAAAAGGTAAGAGATAAATCTAATAAGATGTTATTAGCTTCTTTCCAAAGCTGTCTTGGAAGAGAGGCTCAGTCTTTGGAAAGTCAGAGAAGTACATCTTGTGAGGAGGCTATTCAGCCCTCTTATTACTCAAACTCTGGCATTGCCACAATCAGTAGTAGTGATTTTGCATTTGATGGCCCCTATAATCCACCTCTCTAGTGCCCTCTGCATTTTGTCATTTGCTGAATTTGTAATCAGGCAATCTCCATGAAAAGCTCACTCTAATTCTCAGCAGCCTGGCCAGCTTTTCTGGAAGGATCCAGGGCAAAAAGTAGCAGTGGCCTCCTGCAGGAAAACAGCATCCTGTAGATTGCACCCTGATAAGTCTCTGAAGGTGACCTGCCATCCTTAACGACGTCTCAAATCCAGTGCCTCGACTGGCTACTCGCTTTGCCTCTTCGGCAATCTTACTTCAGCTGGCCCATCCCGCCCCGCCCCACCTATAATTGCCGAGATTAGTCGCAACTCGCTTCGGAATGACTTCGCCGGACCTGCTGCTCCCTAATAATTTTCCCCGGTGGGAGGGGAAAGCTAAGGGCCTTTCTGAGCGGTAAGGCTACAGTGGGGACGCTCCCCTACACCGGCGCGTTGACCACCGTGTGTTCCCTTGGGCATTCCTACGGTGCAGAGGACTCTCCTCGTGTCTGGGTTTTTCATGGGAAAAGGGAGCCAGTTCGCAGCCTAGCACCGAGGGAGAAGCTGTGTTTTTACTCTAGAGAACATGGGGAGGGGATCACCCAGTATGAAAGAAGTTGAGGTGGGTATGGTGGGTACATGTGCGCGCGCACGAAAATCACCCGCCTCTGATTGAAATACGACGTGAAAAGGCAAGAGGCTGGGGAGCGCTTGGAGGCAGGCGGCAAGGGACGAGAAAGGCTCTGTAATGGTCAAGCCGTTCCCTCGCTTGTAGGAATGGCTTTGCCTCCGTTTCTGTTTTGCTCTCGCGCCTGTCAAAATCTTGCCGAAGGGAGCTGAGAAAGCATCATCCACACGGTGGGCGGCCTCACTCGCAGCTTTGATTCCGTGCACGAATGCTGGC